GCAGCTGGTTGATGGTCTTGGTGGAAGTGGCTTGGCTATGCCCGTCGAAGTCGTCCAGTTTTGCTGGAAATACAACGCGGAGCGATTGAAAACCCTCCCGGAAGTCGCCGGCTGCGAGGTTGGTTATATCTCTCTTTCTCTTTCGCAACTTTGCAGCTCCCGTCGTTTTGGAACAGGCCAAGCTTCGGTTGGACGGAGACAAGCCTTACGTGACTGACAACTCTAACTACATTGTGGACCTCTACTTCAAGGTAATGGTGTTTTTGATCTTCGCAACTCTCACGATTTGTCTTCCTTCCACTAGACACCAATCAAGGACGCAAGAGCAGCAGCCAAAGCAATCTCTTCCCTGGAAGGCGTCGTTGATCACGGCCTCTTCCTGGACATGGCGACTGCCGTGATCATCGCCGGGACGAGTGGAGTTTCAGTCAAGACAAAGTGAGCGCTATCTTCTTTGACTGATCGATACAAAACAATTCGGCTGTCAGTTTCAATGCTTGCTAACTTTTCGGGAAGCTTTTTTCTAAATGGATTGAATTGGTCTATCTTTCTTTATTCGTTCATCTCGCACACAGTAGAAGTAAAACACTGCCAGACTTTCGAGAACTTTGTGAGTGTGCGTGCGTGTGTGTGTGTTTGAAAAACTCGTCGGTGTAAAGCAGCATATAAAAGAAGGAAAGCTTTGGAGATCCTGCAACCAAAAACAAAGGAACAAGAAAAGGGCAATGAATAAATCAGCGAAACTTCAGAGCTCTTATGCAAAGAGTTTGCAAGCTAGAGACTAAACACAACCTGCAAAAACAGCGATTATCATCCAAGCAATGGCGCCTAAACCAGAAAGAATGCATACACATTGTTTGAATCTGGTTGTGATCGATGGCTTTCTCGACATCTAATCATCGTCATCGTCCGCGTCCTCCTGAGAAGAGTAGAGATTTAGAAAACTTAGAAACTTATAAGAAGCATACTTCTTCGTCGTCGTCATTGCCAGCAGACTTGGATTTTACCTCTGATTCTCCGGCGGATCCATCCTCCTCCTCCTCCTCTTCCTCCTCCTCGTTGTCCTTCAAAGAAAAAGAGAGAAGAAAGTTTGAGGAAGCCATCAAAACGCACGAACGAGCACGAGAGAAATACCTTCTTTTTGTTGTATGCTTCCAGATCCTTGTCGTAGTCGGCTTTCCTCTTGGCAGCTTTGGCGTGGTAAGGCTCCTTCTCCTGCATGGGACGAGGAAAAAAAAGATTCTCAACACGTCGGAAACTAGCGAAGATCGTGTACCTTGTCAGACAAAGATTTCCACATGTCTCCTCCCGCTTTTCCTATCTGCGAGAACGAAGATCACCAGCACGAGTGAGAAGCAAGAATGAAGATCACCAGAACGACGAGGGAAGAAAAACAAAACAAACAAAAAAAAAAAAATCTCTTGACAAGACAAAGTTCGAGAAGAAGGTTTGCTTACAGCGGCAACTCCCTTGACGTCGGGATGATCCTTCTTGTACGTCTGCCTAAACTCTTCCCTGTGTGATAGAACGATTAGAAAGCAGCGCAAACGAAAGAAACGGAAAAAAAAAAAAAAAAAAAAAACGCTCTCACAGGAAGATGAAAAATGCGGTGGCTGGCTTCTTGGGTTGATTGGGATCCTTTTTCCCCTTTGCTTTCACGGGCTTCTTCGCTTTGGCTGCCTTCGGTTTGGTCTCCTTCACGGAGAGGGCCTTCTTCTTCCCATTTCTGATCCACAAAAAATTAGAAAACTAAAAAACAAATTCCAAGCTCGGCTATGGCGAAATCGGCCAGGGCGAGAAATCTTACTGTTTATTCGTAGCTGCCGCCGCTCCGCGCTTCCCCATCTCCTAAACCAGAAGAGAAAACTATGAGCAAGCGATCAAAATCACAGAATGCCCACAATCTAAGCGAGGAAAAGCGGAGAAAAGGAAATCTAACAAGCTTTCCCAATCGCTTACCGGAGCTTTGGAACGCCGAAGCCCTGATCGATCCTTAGCCGCGTCGCCTCAGCCGCGTACTCTCCAGCAGATCAAAGCAAAGAAGAAAAAACACTACTAGGAGATAGAGAGGGCAGAATAGGGGCTGGATATTCCGGAGCGGAATTTAACGATTAGATATTCTGAGACAGAATATCTACTTGGTTACTTCGTTTCAAGTTTTTCTTCCTGGAGACCAATTCCTGTGGCTCCATCAGCTTTTTTTTTCCTTGAATCGCCACCCTTCGAACTATCCTCGGTATCGACACCTTGTTCCAGACTTTCGGTGCGTGTATGAACAATAAGATAGGAGGTGAGAAATAACAATCAATAAGAATGGTGAATGTAGTTACCCTGGATTGCCTTTAGCAGCAATCTCATCCTGAGGACCACGTCTGAGGTTTCAGTGGGAGTGCTATAGTTGAGGGCCTTCTGCATCTGGTGCTGGAGTGTATGATACTTCAGGGGGAGAGGAGTACACATTGCAAATCCTGAAAGATTAAAAACATAGAGACTTGTAAAGGATGAGTTTTCGTAGGTTTGAAGTGTGAGCAGCTTACGCTTATACAAAATTGTCACAGTTTTAACAGACACACAGATAACTTCCATAAACAATGAGAAACTATATGACTCTGTTACGTGAGACGCTGTCACTACTTCATGAATGCCCTCCGTTTGATTGTTTTCAGCCTCTGAGGCTAATATCAACGGTGCTTTCAGCTTCCTTTTCGACCGTGACAATTTCAGTCACCTGTTCACTTGTTCCTTCGACGCTAATTAGTTCCGTGGCTTCAAAAACTAGTTCAGCAGTTCCGACGGTCACCGTACCACTGTCGACCAAATCATCTGCACGTAACGTCATGTCGAGTGTAGTCAAAATCTCTCATACCTTCATCAATTTTGTTGGTTTTGCATACCAACTTCATTCTCATTGCACTGCATGGAGGTGAATTCATGAGCTCACTAGCCGGGGTTTCCTGAGACTGCATCCGGATTGTCTTCCAAACGATCTTTACTATCAACAGTTGTGCTTTCGTCAGGTTCTGAATTTCTTAGACAAGAAAAGGGTACTTACTTGATAGTGTTCATCCTCGTGGCCAATCTGAGATTTACTGGGCGAAAAAGTAATTTTTCAGTAGAAGAATTACAAGAAAAACCGTTAGCTTCACCGCCAGCACAAAAACAAAAGTATTTTACTCGTTCTCTGGAGCTTCGATATTCCTAATTGTTTCCGCATCCTCACCAGCATCAGTGTCTGCAAAATAAGAAGACATGATAAAAAATATAGAGAGAAAAAGTAGGAAAATCTCAGAACGTTTCATAGCACTGCCGATGTCCCATTCCACGACCTCTTAACTCGATTTTCCCTCATCTTGTCCTGCCTTTCCGCCTTCAACTTCATTAAGATCCGCTCCAACTTCAGGTTCAAAGCTTGAGGGAGAATCGAGAAGATTGATTTGTGTGTCCTCCACAACGACACGTTCAGCATTTCCTTCCTCCTCTTCACCATGAGCATCGGCCATTTCTCCTGATCCATCAATCGCAAGAGACAATGCATCTAAACTTCTGCATGCCTGTTCATTCTCAGGAATCCTGTCGTCACCATTTTCGTCAGATCCTTTGGGAGTAAAAGTTTCCTCAGCCTTAGACCCCACGCAGAGAAAGACCACTACATATCAAACAAGAGTCAGCCCCATTAATCACGAAAATAATGAAGATACTTACCGTCTACTGCCATCATCCAGCCTAGAGCCAATTTCAAACATGCCGGTTCAGGGACATTCTCCTTGTCCATGTCTTTATCAGCTTGAAGTACATCAGTAGCCCTTTCATTCCCATGGTTCTCGGACCTGCAAAACAGTGTTTCATTACCATCGATCAATAAACGTTGCTTACATTTCAGTGTCGGTTAAACGTGTTGGGGATTGAATTTCAATTGATAAAGTGTTATCAGGTAGCATCTTGATAATACCTTCCGTTGATAAGGTGACCTTTTCAACCTCGGTTGATTCGGCCGTAGTCGAATGCAAAGTCGAAAGTTTAGCGCTGTCCGTATCATTACGCTATAGAACGAAAAGGAACAAGGCCGTTCTTACATTTTAGCCGCGGGAAAGAAATCCCTTCGCTTTCCTTTAGGGGATCAATTTCCTTGTCGTGTGCAGGAAAACTGTATGTGAAGGTTAACTAAGACATGTCAGGATAGATAGAAAACTCACTTGGTCTAAAAACTAGCTGGAGTTTCCTTTTTCACGCTTAAAACACCTGATGTCAAGCATCTCCAGCTTCCCGCCAAGACGAATAACAGGAAGATAATGAGAAGGTAACAAGCTTTCGGCCTGTGAAGAGAGCGATCAAGCCAAGATGTTAAGGGAAATTGTAAAACAATACGTACATGGCTAAGGTAAGGATGATTGCATAGATTGTTCTTCACCTTGAAGTGAGAACCATTAGAACGAAACTAGTGAAGTACCTGAATAGATGTGCCAGTTTGCAAGATGCCTTTTTTATCCAATGGCCTTTGTCAATTATAATGTAATGCCTACTCAATTTGGTCTATCGTTTGTCACAAGAATATTAAAACGTTGCTAGCGTTCCCTAGATAAACTGCGATCAACAGTCAGTCATGAACAAACTTCCGTGCTTTCGTGAGCTGAACAGATGACGCCGCTCATCAGGAGTACCAGTATATGCAAGTTTGATCTGACATCTAATTTGGCAACACCGATGAAGGTACAACGCCTCGATCATGCTTGGCCTCGTTTAGATAGCATATCAAAGCAATAACCTGCAAACCACACATTATGCATCACAGCCTTAACAAAATAATAAAGAAATGTACCTGAATAGCGCGAGCTCCCAGAACTTCGGCCAGTTTGTCCTTCATGGCTTTTGTTGTCCCTGTACGCTTGTCACGAACTACCTCGCGAAAAAAAACACACACGCAAACCTCGTCAACTCTCTGCATCAGCGTCCGCTACGGAGCCGACTTCTCGCTCCCGGGGCCTGTTCCTGATCTGTCCAGCTTCTCCGTGGATTGCCTGCTTGAGAGTGGGATGCGGGCAACCTTGCTGGAGAGTCCTGCTCAAGTTTGTTCATGTTGTTCGTCGTCAGGCCCTGAAGGAACTTGATAACATCCCCGCTCTTACATGCAAAAGGACCTTTCTCGGCTAGCAGCGTCGGACCCCCGGAAGATAACTCGGACGCTCGAGGAGGATACGACGGCGACGAGTGAGAAGCTTTTGCTCCTCACATTTTTAGCATAGCACCTCCCAGCAAGCGCCAGACTGTAGCTGGAATTTTTCTTCTTGCGTATACCCTCAATCCCTGTTACCCGACTAGTTCTCCGGACTCCTGCTCGTCCTCCTCGTTGCTTGCTTCCAGTTTCCCGGCCTTTACTATGCTGTACTAATTCTATACTATTCCTGTTCCATAAGTCGAGAAGGAGAACTGGCGTTCCTGAGACCCAAGTAGACTTGGTGCAAGGATCCTTTCAAGGAGAAAAAGAAAGAGGGGATTACTCAGTGAAGGAAATGGCGAGACAGCGCCTGACCGTGGAAGGAGGCGATTCGATGTTCACATCTGCAAGGAAATGTACTTGATCGAATCAGAAGATTTCGCTTGAATCGAAAAAGCGACGATCTCGCAAACCCTAATAGCATTCTGCTCGAGTGATGACGTTGTCTCATCAAAGATCAAAGCAAAAGTAATGATCCGAAATTCACACACTCGCGAAAAAAGGAGAGAAAAAAAGAGAGGAAAATATGTTTTCTTACGAACAAGTCATGCTGCCATTATCCGCTGCTTAAAATAAAAGCCCTCAGCAACTCAAAACGAAACAAACCGAGTTCTTCATGCAAAGGGATCATTGACCATTCTCTATGATCTTCCTCAGTAGCTCCTCTGGATCCTGCCGGCTATTCGAAGTGCTGGCAAAGAAGGAATGATTTATAAACATTCAAGAGAGAAATCGCTTAATCTAGTTAAAGGCTTACTTTTGGTTCTCTAGGGTTACTAGATGGCCGTGTCGTTGTTTTCTTTGCTTCGAACGCACATCCCCAGCCCGGGTTTCACAGGTTCCTCTCCGCTTTGTGACAGTCTTATAGGAGAGCACACTCCGAGCGGTGCCTACAAGGTATGGGAATCATTCGCGTCGGAGCTCCAACTCTTTCTCTCCGCGCTCTACTCACAGCCGGATAGCGCCCCAGTCTTTACACATCCTCACCCGCTAGTTGGTGCTGAAACCACAAACCGCGAAGAGGCATCTGCAAGACTGTATGCGTCCCTTGTGATTCCGGTGCAAGAGCTGTCTGCTGAGTACCACAGACGGTTTCAAGTTGGCGGTGGACTCCATCTCACCCATATCGAAGCTGCATTCGTCATGTATGGCAACGCGGACGAAAGTACTTCTCAGCCGCCAAATGCATTTGCAGCAAATACCCTTCGAGGGTTTTTTGTGCTCGAGCCAGACGTGTTGCTGCAGGGTCTGACAGTTTCGGGTGGTGATGCCCACAAGATATTTGCTCGAGCGGCTGGCTATTTATACTACAACCGATCGGGGTACGCTTGTGTTACAAGCATTAAGCGCGCATTTTTTTGCAGGCTGAGCCGTGAGGAGGACGTTTTCCAGGTCTCTGATCACGTCGTCTTTGATATGAATTCGCCACCACACGGCGCACGATCGCCGACTCTTTTCGAAGCTCTCTTCTTCTTGATGCACCTCATGTTTCAGAAGTCAAATCTGCCTCGGCCACAGCAGCGTTTGGATCAGCCTTTTCCACGCAGAAAACGAATCAAGTATAACTCAGCTGGACCCAGCACAGTCAATGCTCGCTCCAGGATCCACAAGGAACAGGCTGTGGATCTGCGTATACAGATGTCAGAGCTTTGCAGATCTATGAACTTCAGCTTCAAAGACATCGAGGACATTGTCACACTACAGCTCTCGGATTTGAAGCTCTCGAGCTGGCGTCAGATTCACTCTGGTGAACAAGTTTCTGTCTTTCAGGGGAGATTCAAAGGCGAAAAGGCTGTCTTCAAATCAGTGGACGTGTGCAAGGCTCCTGACAAGCTGCGGAAGATGGTACGTGAAGTGTGGGTGATGGCGAGATTGAAAAGCCTGCAAGGGGATGTTATCCCTCGCCTCTATGCGTCTGGTTTCCTGGATGGAGGGATCTGGCTTACCATCATGCAAGACATTGGAGGAACGAGCATTGACAAGAACTATGAGGAGCTTTACAAGGATAGCTATCTCACCGCAGCAAAGTCTGCCTTGAGCGTGATACACAGGGCAAATGCAAGTCACGGTCGAGTTGAGTCCTCCAACATCATCGTTGGAGAAGGTGGCAAAGTTATGTGGATCGACCTTGAAGCAGCGTGTTTCTTTGGCAGCGATGGTGATGCGGATGATCTGTTGCATTTCGTTCGTGAAGATCTTAAACAAATCCCGGTTTGTAGATCAAACTAATTGTATGGAAGATCTAATACTGTAGCGTTTTTGTGTTCCTCTATCCACGAGTGGAAAGACTATCCAAATATGCGCTCTGCTTGATTTCGGGATTCTGATCTTATTGAAAGCTTGACTATGAAGGCATAGGAATTATTTGATCATAGTAATCGTAGTAGTTTTTTTTATTTTTATTTTTTGTAAAATAAAGAAAAATTGCCTAATAAAAGAGTAATCCACTTTGCATCTCCTCATCTCCAATCTTCTTCTTGCATTTCAGGCTAGCTGTATGTTATAATGTATATACTGAATTGATTTTGCAGTTCTATTGGAGTCTACTAATTTTGTAATGCACAGTTAAAAAGGTCATGATAACATTGATCATGATAACATTGTAACGGATATTGAACAACCCTGGCCAACGACCAATCGCTCTGTCACGACTGGCTGAAGAAGCACAGCCACATTGGCAGATCGGCCATTGCCCATTGCCCATTGCCCATTGCCCCGTTGCCCTTGCTTGGATACATTTGAGAAAGAAATTATTAATGGTAAATAAAAGCAAAGCAGTAAAATCAGGTGTAAATGAAGGTGGGGAGAGAAAAAAAATTCAAACCAATAAAAGAGAAATTTACACTAAATCCTAGATCCTTCTACTTTTTTCATGTTAAGTAAATATAAAGTTTGAAAGAAATATTTAAAGCACCTAGAAGAAGATATAATTATCCTACTTACTAGATATGGTAAAGAATATATGATTGTACTTTATATTTACAAATGTGTAGATTTATTTTTATACTTATATAAGCAATCTAAACTTGATTGTCTATATAATATTTTTGTCATAGGATATGCCTTGTATGCAATGACATCTCATATTACTATGCAAAATTGATACCATATAATTGCAAGCAATAAAAAAATGACTAAAGAGATGATTTATATGGGTTCAAATATAAAAAAAATGACCCATAAATAAGAGTGCACTTTTTTTTCAATTAATTAGGATATTTGGGTTTGAGTATTATTTTGCTATGTGACCTTCCAGAAAGTTCAAATTTAAGAGTTTACAACTGATACGTACCCATATGTAAAACAAATAAGGTTCAAAAAAATATTTTATAAGTTACATTGTGTTATAACAATTTAAGTACACATGTGATTTTTTTTATATATTTTGCAATCTTGCACAATTTTTTTCCAGTATACCCACTTTAGGTACACCTCTTCTCATGGGAAGTATATCTTTCCCCCAAAATTGCCATTATAAATTGCTTGCCATAACTAAATTTATAATTAAAATAAATAAGTTTTTAGCAGATATATAATAATGAATATATGATTGTGTCTAAAAGCATTATATATTTACACATGTGTGAATTTTCATTTTAGTTGCATGCAAATGTATTATGCATACAATCACTTTTCAATTGTTATATAGGAAACCAAAACATAATTATGTATATAATATTTTTGTCATGGGATAACCATGTATGCATGGGGCATAACACATTAAACTACTATACAAGACTAATGCAATATCATCTTAGATAACACAATGTCACTATAAATTTAATAATGCTTTTTTTTTATCATTCTTTTGTCATTGAGCATAGATTTATGATCTCTTGATTGTTTCCCATAATTATGGTTTATTTCTTGCAGCTTAAAGGTATATTTTAATTGTAACATGCCCTAATTAGTAAGCATAATGTTTCAATCATTTTTGCAAATGGCCCTCATTTCTATTTGTAGAGTGGTGCCCTAATTTAGGTAACAATCAATTAGAATGGAGGGAAATGAGATCAATTGGAGTGCAAGGGTAAAAGGCAAAACATTTCTTTCAATTCTTGGGATGTTGAGTGTGCTGGTTTTTCCTCGAGTAAATGGATTTTGTTATAATTGTAATAATGCATTAACTCCATTGATTTTTTATTTCCCAATCACAAGTGTAAAATTTTTGGCCTTATAGTGGTTTGTTGCACTTTGCTATAAATTGATAGTGTAAACTTTTTTTTCTTGGGTTTTTGCTTGTAGGCATGAACTTTATGGTTGTTGTAGTCACTATTTTGTGGTGAGTGAGAAGAATTGTAACATAATCCTTACATATAAATAAGTTTTTACTTTTTGTAAGTTTTAACTCATTTATCTTTAATGCATATTTTAATGTGTGTGTTTTTCATTCTAGAAACTTTAGTTTTTCTTTGTTATTTACAAAATGATATATAGCTATATGTAGTGTATGTAGTTTTCACCATTTATCCTATGGTGTTTTATCATAAAATAATTATGAAACCTATCCCTCTACATGGTACATGTTATATGTCCAAGGGCAACAAAGCAAAATTTGAGTTTTAGGGCCTTGGGCCACTAAATAAAAGGACCGAGTTAAACTTCTAAACTTGCATTCAATGACTGAAGGAATTAAAACACGAAATGACTCATAAGAGTTTAGCCCAAAGAATGAAGAGACAAGAGTATGGAATGACATTTAGAATTGTCCTAAAGTATTTAGCTTCCTAAAACCAAAACTAGTATCCAAAATGAAGCTAAATGAAGTTTAACACTATTTTAGTATATTAATGGCCTAACATGAGGATATGGGTACTCCACCAACTAGTATGGTATAGAATTTGGGCTTAGACCCAAGTTAGACATAGAACAAAGATAAGTATAAAAACCAAATCTATACTATACCTCATATTGGTCGGCCATGCCCAACCTACCCAGTATCCCTACTATATATTTGGAGCCCTCCACAGCCTCATGCTTTGGGCTTTTACCCTAGTATCAGGAGTTAATCCCTAGAATAAGTTTGAAACTTATTAAATATAGAATAGTGCTAAATTGCAAATTTAGATAAGTAACTAAGTAAACATAAAACTATACCTTTTCTCTTTCCTCCATCCATTTTTTTTTGTTCTTTCCACTCCTTCTTTATTCCCTATTTCCTCTTTCTCTATAGAAATAATAGTATAAAAAAGTTTCAGACAACAAGAAACAATTACTAGTTTTTAGTTACGTTGATCAGAACATAGTCACATATCCTATTTCTTTTTATCGTTCTCTAGCATCAAATTAGTGTAGTGATTCTTTCATATTTTTAGATCTTGCATGATTTTAATATTCTAAGTGTTTTTGTCTTTGATGTGGCTATACTTCATATTCAGAAGTGTCAACTTTTGGTTCTTCAATTTACATGGCAGTATTTCACTATAAAGTTATACTTAGTTTTCTAAAGTCTACATAATAAAAAAGTGTATAAAAAATTGAATATAAATTTTGAGAAAACAAAATTCTTTACCTCGTATTTCCTATTTGCTCTTCCTCCCGTGTCCATTCTAGATTTTAGCATTGTTAATTGGAAAAAATAGCATTAGAAGGAAGAAAACATATAAAAAACTTACAATTTCACAGTTGTGAACTTTGATTTTATGCTGATTTAAAGCTGATGATGAAGGGTTTAGGGTTTAGGCCATACCTGACCTACCCACTATCCCTACTATACATTTGGAGAGCCCCATAACTGCATACTTTGAGCTTTTACCATAATACTAGAAGTTAGTCTTTAGAATAAGTTTGAAACTTACTAAATATGGAATGGTACTAAATTGCAAATTTGGACGTAGAATAACACTATCATGTTTAGGACAAGCTCTATATTCTATAGATATGCTTAACTTGCAGATTTAAACACTCTTCATAAATAGCTAATAAGACCAAATAGAACTAACATGTGGGGTATGATAACAAAGGTGTTTGATAAACATAGTAAGCTATCATTTGGCGATATTAAGGGACTAATCTCAATAGTTCTTCATAAAAACATATATCACAAGAATAAAATAAAACATTTCTAGCCTATAGTGTTGGAAACTAGAGAGAAAAGCCAAGCCCTAAACCTTAAATTCTAAGCTCTTTTTTATTGGAGAAATAATTAACCAATTATCTTGAAATCTTCCTTAAATATAGATAGTATTTGCTAAATGGTCTTGATGGAATAATCTATCTAAACCCTAGGGTTTAGGGTGGTAAAAACCCTAGGGTTTAAACCCTAAATTCTAGGGTCCATAAGGCAAGCTCTAGGATTTAGAGAGATTGTTAAAGACCATTCACCCAAGTTACTAAATCTTAAAAGCTTTGGAAGGTTGTGATAGCAATATAATTAGTTTAGTATCTATTATTATATATACTATATACTAATTAATTTTACGTGTTATTTTGCTTTTGGCATATATCAGGCTTCTAGCCCTAATCCCTAAACCCATGGTTTAGGGTTTAACAGGGTTTAACTCTAAAACCCTAAGCCTAGGTGTTGGTTATGCCTCCAAAAATTATCTCTACCTTGGATACATATGCTTAGAATATGCTCTGATCATTAATTACCAATCTCCAACAAATTTTTATACACTCTTGAAATAAATAAGAATTTGGTTAATAAGGTTTAGGTTTTAGGATTTAAATCTTTTGTTTTAAACCCTAAAACCTAGGGTTGAAATGTTAAAAACCCTAGTAAGAAACAGTGGCTTGTAAACTATTGCTAAATTTGGTCTTGTTTTAGCCTTATGTATTGTGTAAGTTAGATTTTGAGGTCAAAAGATGGAGAGAGTTAGATGTATAACTATATCCACTTAATTTACCAAAAAATCAAACATATATGTATATTTCTTATGTCTTTTAGGGACCAATTATAAAAGAATTGAGCAAGCTGATCAATCACTCTCAAAAAGAGTTGTCACTTGCTCAATAAGAGGGGAGCTAGATATTGTCAATGGAGCGCATCCCTTCCTTGGGCTGCTCAAAGGATTGTATCCAATTCAGGGTTTAGGGTCAAAGAGCTAGAGTGAATGATTTTCTTATTGTAAGTCCAAAAACTCTAAAATATCAAGCTCTCAATAGTTTATTATGGAAACATAGAATCTTCAACTAATGAAGAAGACTTGTTATCTGAGATGCACTCCTAGAAATCTAGCTTGCAACATAACTGAAAGAACCATCAAGCCTCAAAGAGAGGTAAAAATAAAAGGAAATCTATGGAGATGCTA